ATTCCTCAATGAGAGACAGCTTCTCATGCGGCCCATGCCTAGAAGCGACCATCAGATTCCCGAAGTGATTTTGTTCTTGTGCTCGTCTGTCTTCCAGGAGCCTAACGATAGCGAGGGCGCCATCTGCTGATGTGAGTATGAACCTGCTTGTCGCTCTTTATTTCTATGAGATCTGATGTGCTGACGTAAGGAACCAAAATGGGAACAAAAAAAGAAGTTTAAAAAAATTTAAGGAAATGGAAAAAAAAAAAAAATAACAGAAAAAAATGAGAAATGAAAGGAAAAGATTTACCGTATTTTCCGAAATATAAGCCGCTACTTTTTTTCTCTCGCTTTAAACTATGCGGCTATTAAGAAGGTGCGTTTTTTTCTGTGCATTTCTTAACCGCCAGAGCGGGAAGTCGGAAAGTTGGAAATGAAAGAACAAGAGGCTAATTTTCATTTAGCCAAAGAATATGCTAGCACCAGGAGAACAAATGTCCCAAAATTCGCATTTTTTAAATTGTATTCGCCACATTAAAGCAGGGCATACACTGTACGAGTTTTCGTCCTTGTCAGGCCGATTTTCCAGTTGTGTGAGAATTTTTGGATCGGGCCGACTTTCAGTCCGATCCTGGGTCGTGTAGAGTACAGCCTCTCACGACTACCTCCCGATCAGGATATCATAATATCGGGAGAAAATCAAACATGTTTGAAATTCAGTAGGCCGTCTTAAGATCGCATCAGAGCGTCGGGCTGCACAGCGTGAGAACGTGCATCGTGAGCTGTGAACTTCGTCGTACAGTTTGGACTGTAGCTGCGTGTAACAACTGAAAATATCATGCAGTAAATGCGATATACGCTATATATGTGGCTTAAAGCTGCCGAACCAATGAAGAGCCTGGGATAAGCTGAAATAAAGAGCTGATGAATCCACATCTTTCAGTAGAAGCTCTTACTGCTACGAGCTAACATGCTAACGGGAGCTAGCAGTCTTCTTCATCCCTACTCCGGGGGCTTTATGTAGAGCTCCCCCTACAGGTTTGGTGGGAGACAGTTCATTAGACACCAGTGGCTTATTTATGTACGTTTCCAGGTTTTTCAAAAAAAATTGTGGGCGGGGTTATAGTGAGGTGCCTCTATAGTCCAGAAAATACGGTAAATGTGAAAAATATTTTTTAACTAAAAACTAATTGGACCTATAAATTTAAAAATGAAACTTGGAAAAAAGGTTTCAAACATTCACACATTTCTAATCTTTTTATTTTATTTTTTTAGTTTGAAAGATACTTTTCTATTTCAGTTATTTGTTGTGTTTTTTTGCCTCCAAATATTTTTAAAAATGTCTCTGCTCTGCTGGGTTTTAGTAACGGCATTACAGACTGCTGGAATCTGTAAAATGGGACTAGATTTGAAGTTCATAAAACTCAATTTCCCCTCCAAAATAAAAAAGATAGAATCTAGAAAAATTTATTTAAAAAACCCCTAAAAGTAAAAAAAATGTACGTGTGTTTATGTAAACACGTGCATTTCTTTTCCTCTGTAAAAACAGCAGCCAGTGAAAATCTTGGTTGAATTTTTAACGTACATTCAAATTATTCTCAAAGTTCCATTTTTTTTAAACAGATTTTCTTCAAAAATTTACTTCCTTTCAATAATTTTGGAAGAAATGTCACTTCATTTTGCATAACAATGATCTTCATTATTATTTATACTGGTAAAAATGTTGAAATTAATAACTTTTTTTTAGTTTGACAAACATGTTTCTCAGAGCTAAAAGTTATTTAAATGATTTAAAGCCGTCCGGCCTGAGTTCTGAGTCAGATCTGTTCAGTGGAGGAAGATTAAGATTAGGGTGATGGCACAGAGGCCAAAAAGCTGCTTAGTAATAATAAGGAATGTTGCTATGATGCCAATCACTGCTGATTAAGGAGGTTGTGAATAATTTCCAACATTCATTTTTTATTAAATACAAATAAAACCGGAGTCTCTTTATACTTTTGGGTGATTCTGATTCTGTTCCTTTGATAAATGTGCAGTAATGCGGCCAAAGCTGCAGGAACAAAGATCATTTACCGTAATGGAGGTAATATCCAATCAGAAGCACAGTGGGAATCGGACCAGACCAGACCAAGTCCAACTGG